CCACTAACCTGATTTCCAGTTCCAATATCAACTGGGAGACTGGGAGGAAGCAGGGGCATGGCCAGCCTATTTGCCGGTTCTCAGGACTACTCAAAATTTCCGCTACCGGTTCTCCAGAACTTGTCAGAACTAGCTGAATATCATCTCTGGGATGAATATTTCTTCCAATACATTCTTCTACATTCATACTTCTTTTACTTTTTATTCTGGTGTTCCAGTTCTCTATTTTTGATAATTTAAGAAGAGGCTGGTTATTTACCACCTAGCAATATTTGTATTTGTATTTGTATTTTATTAAATTTATATGCCGCCCTTTTCCCTNCTCATAGGGCCCCTCGCTGTCGGAGGCTGGTGGCAGCTCCAATGGCTCCTGCTGGGCCACAACACATCACTATATATATTGCATTTTTGTCACCTCTTACTTTAACATGCTTGATCTTTCTATTCTCTAACCAACTATACCATGTGTTCCAAATCAAATAGTATTCTGTTTCTCCTCTTTCTTTTATTTGCATTATTAGCCTATCCATCTCTGCACATTCTAACACTTTTTAAAATCACCATTCCCTCATAGGGGATGCTATCGTTTTTCCAATTTTGCGCGTATATGATTCTGGCCAAGCGGGTACCTTTTTCACAGGACAAACAGACATGTGCCCCAGCATATTTGCCTTCTTTCTTCTCCAGCCATGGAGCTGGGGAGGGCAGACCTTGAAGCCTCTTTTGTCTGAGAGGATTGATGATAATAGCATGACTCAGCTCTTCCGCCCCGAGAATTCCAAATGTGCATTACCTCATCAAGTGCTCCCAAGGCTTCTGCCTGTGAGGAACAGGAAATGTTGAATCATTCGATTCACAGAGCTCTTTTGTTGACAGTAGAAAGTGTTAATGGGAGTGGATTTCAATTGCCTTTTGTTCATCCCTCCCCTTTCCCCTTCTAATAAGCTTCAGCCCAGCTGGGCTTTTAAAAGCCTTATTCGCGGTGTGTATGTAGATAATTGTGAATGTACGGCCTCCTCCTTACGAATAAAGTCATTCAAACAAATTGGCATTGACGTGGCCAGTACTCTTCTAAGTATCCTTTGCTGGTTGTCATTGGCTACTAGAACAAGACGTTATTGGAATGCCTGCTTTAGCTCTTCGTTTCAGCTGGGTTTTCCTGGCTTTTGCTGCCACGCAAGAAATATCCATCACGTAACAGCAGCCGCCAATTAGCTGTAATACAGTGCAAATAAATGCTTAAATGGACAAATCATTGGGCGGTTAAATTTATTGCAGACAGAGCTGGCATTCAAGAGCGTGAACTTGATCCCAATGTAGCCGGTGATTTGGATATCTGGCTGGTGATTTGAAATTGGGGCCCTGAAGCAGAAATTCTCAATTTCTCTTTCCTTGGAACAGTTCATGTCCCATCTCCCACCATACTTACTTCTGTCTGTCATTGCTGTTGGTCTTTGGTCAACCTTCTCAGCTACCCCATGTCGGATAATAACAACCAACTAAAAGTCATCTATAAATGTGATACAAACCTAACTAGACCCACACTGTTTCCCCACCATTCTCACAATGGAACAATTTTAGCATAAGTTGTTTTCTTAGTTTTTCAGTGCTTGTTTCTTGGAAAGGGGATTGCGCGGAACATAGCATAGCACTTAGACTTATATACCACTTCACAGTGCTTTACAGCCCTCTCTAAGCGTTTTACAGAGTCAGTATATGACCCCCAACAATCTGGGTCCTCATATTTACCTTTCAGTAAACTTTGGCTTATAAATTCAAGCATTGTGTTGCCTGTTTTCCTTTATCTGGTTTCAAAAAAGCATGTGTAGAGTTGCAGACTTAAGTAGGATGTAGTTCTCATGGTTTCGATGTGCCAACTCAGACTTAATTTACATTGTAAAATCTTAAAATAAGTAAGTTTGGTTCCTTGACAGAGTTATGTTTATCTGTATTTTAATAGGATGTTATGTTTTCCGGTTCCACCACAAAACCACGGTAGACTAAAGCGCGCTCGATGAAACCGCGTACCTGACGTCATCACAGTGCGACGAAAAAAGCACGC